GATCCAGAGGTTAAAATGTAGCCACAATTTGAGCTCTGCCCCCAATAAAACTGCTGCTACTGCTATAGCACCAATTATTAAAGTGAAGTCTTTGTGGTTTTTTTCCTCAAAAGGAACTAAATTGAACAAGTTTCAATCACTTCATTTTCCCCCTGAAAGCTATACACCCCTGGCCTGTGGTATACATTCTCCTTCCACCCACTTTGTCATTGCCTGAGCAGCATCCACCACTGAAGAGGGAACAGCAAAAGTCAACACTTCAGGCATGTTATTTTCCTCCTCTGCCATTTAGTGAGATCAGACCGTATTACTATGCAAGTAACTAAACATTGCAGTTGTGCCTCAGAAGAAATAAACGTATCTTGCCTTAAGTTGCAGTCATGCAATAATATAGTTATGCCTTTATTCACAGAATAACACATTAATCACAAGAAACTTGTTATTTGATGTTAATTATATACTCTTTTCTTCCAAGCTCTGAAAATATTGGCAAAACAACAGGGATTAACTTCTGACATTTCCATCTGGATGGTTTTTTTAAAAAATTGTAACTATTTGTCTTATGTTAGGAAGTGATATGGGACTTCTGAAAGGTACTGCCTTTGGGCAAAGACTCTTCCATAAAAAGGGAAGGAGGAATGCCTCCTTAATTTTCTTTCTTGTCCTCTAATGTTGCAACAGTGCCAAGATGGGCTCTTATCGCTATTGTTGTCGCAGTTGGCCTAGTTCTTCTACTCTTACTCGTCTGCATCATCAGATGCTGTTGCTGCAGGAAGAAACGCAAGAAGAAGGAAAAAGTCAACTTGAGGAGCCTCAACGGCACTTCCACCACCACCAGTTTGGTAAAGTCTTCTCATTCTTTCTGCTGTCTCTCTTATCTCTCTGGACAAAAAAAAAGTTCAGCTTCCTCTTGAGAGGGGGCATGTCACAAAATAATATCTTGAGCGTTTGAGAACTTCCAGTGGTGCATCAGTGAGGCTCCTTTCTCACTGGAGAACAGAATGACTCATTGACACAATCTGGCTGGCTTCATCTGAGGTTGAGATTGATTGCCTACCTGGCAGGTCATTGGCTGACCGTCTCATTCTTCTCTGCGGCTAAGAAAAGCAGGGACATAAAAAGTTATTTGACCTGTCAAACAATAATCTGAGAGAGAGAGGTCAATGTGTATGAGGAAAGATACTGGATGCAGGTGCACCCTAGTGAAAATACCTGGAACAAAAATAGTATGGGCAACTCTTCATGACCTGGTGAGGTTAAAACTGCAATTGCTGCTGTCCACTCCAAATAAATCAAGTCTAGGAAACAGGGGGAAAATAGGCATCTTTTTGGTGTCTGTGAGCAAGAAACAGGACAGAGCAGCCTACTTACCAAATACGTATGTTTATTTCTTTTCTTTTGCTGCTGGAGGTCACTGGTGGAATCCTGAATGACACTAATTGGTCCCTTAGCTGATCTCCTTCTTCTGAGAGGGTAACTGATCCATATATTTAGCAAGCTGTCCCGTCTTCTCTCTGAACTGTTTAGACATCACTATACCATAACAAGAGAATGCTGCTATCTTGATATAGGTCCAGCCTGATACAGAAGACATTGAGTGTGGACTGGCGGATGAGAAACGAGGGCGTCTGCAATACTCCCTGGAATATGACTTCCGTAATCAAGAGGTATAGGTCAAGGATGAAGTATTTGTGTTCAACTTTTATTACAAAGCTATCTTATTCCAACAAGAACAACCCCTCCCCTGCTCCTGCCAGCCTTTCAGATCTACCTCTGTGCTTCTCCTTCTCCTTATTGCTAGACCCTGCAAAATCTTGCCTGCTGGCCCTTTATTGTTCTCATCTAGCCCATATGTTGATCTGCAATACAACTGGTGTCTAGGAACAGATGTCACATAAATATGCTTAGCTCGTGGGCTGTTCATCTGATTCTTTGCCCTGCTGTGTTGCTCCAAATGGCTTCCGCATGCCTTTTCTTATATGGCTTTGTTTGCATCTCCAGTTGTACATCATATCTTCATTACTTCAGGCTATCTAAATGGAATGCATGCTGCCTTTCTGTGCTACTAATGTTTTGGCATTGATTCTCTTTTAGATGAAGGTTGCTGTGAAGCAAGCAGCTGACCTGAAGGCCATGGACAGTGGAGGCACTTCTGATCCCTATGTGATTGTCTACCTTACATCTGATATAAGGAAGAAGTATGAAACAAAAGTTCACCGCAAGACACTCAGCCCTGTTTTCAATGAGTCCTTTGTTTTCCAGGTAGGAGGCAGTACTGCCTGTCAAGGAATTCATCCAGTTTTTTTCTGGTTCAGTATTGTAACATTATCCTATTGTTATACATATATAATGATGTGCTAAAATACCATATATATATTGAGCCTAATATGCCTATTCTGTTGAAATGAATGGGGCAACTTCTATGTCATCTGTTTAGTATCATAATGTATGTTATGCTTCAAAAATGAACATGTTGTCTTGCCTTTCTAAAAGCAACACAGCTCAATGACTAGCTGGGATGAAACTTTTGTGAAGATGCTAAATTCCTATATTCTCATATTATGGGGATTGTTATCTACTATGAACATACGAGAACTCTGTGTATGAAAGTTGACAATACTGAAATGTTGTTTTGAAAACTGAATTAATGGCAGCCAGCCATATTACTGTCCCCTTTCTTATTCTCTCAGCAGAAGCAACTTGTCACATTGTGCTTTATTAATGTGCTGCCAGCACTTGGAAAAATGCAGGGAAATACTATCTGGTTCCCTCTGGTGGTCAGTGGTGACACTGTATCTTTGAAATGATACCCAGTGTGGTGTAGGATAGAGTACAGTATTTAGGACTCAAGAGGCCTGGGTTTAAATCCCCTTGTAGCCATGGAAACTCACTAGGGTGTGTGGAACTGGTAAAACCACTCCTTAAATATCTCACTTACCTTGACAGTCCTATTAGGGTTGCCATAATTTGGCTCTGACTTGAAGGTATAGAACAACCACAGCAAATCTTTGAAATGCAGGTAATTACAAAAGCAAGAAAGACAGAGCAAGACAGTATTTCCCTTGCCACTTAGGACTTATAAGAGAGTGACATAGGGCTTGAACAATTAGTGTCAAAATGCCTCTAAAATGCATTTAAATGCTTTTTAGAAGTAGCATTTGAAAAAGTAGGTTAAAATGCTACTTGTTCCGTTGTGGTAGTGTATTTGAGTAACAGCTGATGGGAGACAAATGTTAGTAGACAGCTAGTTAATGCCATTTTGCCCTACTTGCTGTAAGCTTTCCTTGTGGGTCTCTCTGTCAACTGATACAAACCCATTGTTGGACAATATGAACTTTGGGCCAATCTAATCCAGCAAGTTCTTGTGTTCCTGTGTTGGGGGCCTTGCATTCCTATATTACACAGGAGTGCAAATTAATAGAACTTCAGCATGACATGGAATTGGATCGCACAGAAACTGGCTGGAAATCATATTGCTTTCTGGTCTTTTCTTTCTCTGCAGATACCCCAGGCAGACGTCACCGAGACCATGCTTGTGATGCAGGTATATGATTTCAACCGCTTTTCCAAACATGACATCATTGGAGAGATGCGGCTGCCTCTTGGGGATGTTGACTTGCATCATGTCATGGAACAATGGCACGAACTCAGTGCAGCAAGCAAGATTGAGGTGGGTAACTTGGGCAGAGGGGTGGCAAATGCTGCTAGCTGGCCTGGCAAATCAGCTCCTGAACTACCCATGTTTAGACTTTATCTGGCCATTTCAGCATTTTCCCCACAATGTATCAATTTCTATTTAATTCCGTGTTATTGACTGCAACCTTAGGTCATCATTGTATAAAAAACTGGGAGAATGAACATTATGTAATAATTAAAATAAAGATGGGACAAAGTTAATGAAACATAGATTAGTAATAACCTGAACTGCTGAATCAGTTAAACCAGCAGAAAGCATTTTCCTATTTATGAATGAAATCCATTTCAGCTAACTTTTCTTATTTAATTGTGCAAGAAGGTATACAAAATTACAGTCATTTATTCGTTCAGAACCTGTTTAGGGTACCCTTCAAATTATCAATTTAAAAAAAGAGTATAACTGTTAATATATAAATAACTATAATAAGCTGAATCCTGCAAATTGTATGTCATAACACAGTTATCAGGATTGAAACTTCATCTCAAAAGCTACAGAAAGAAAAAGAGTGTTGCCTGATGCAAGGTAGATATTAAGAGTACCTTCCTAAATCCATTTCAGCTAACTTTTCTTATTTAGTTGTGTAAGAAGGTATACAAAATTATAGTCATAGAGTGTTGCCTGACACAAGGTAGATATTAAGAGTACCTTCCTAAGCAGGGCTCTAAAGGTCAAAAACGGCCCATTAACTGGGTCATGAATGAACTAGAAAGGAATACAACTAACACAGCTCAGGTGTGATGTGACCATAACTCCCAGTAGTAGGTAATCTCACAATTACATTCTGTGCTAATTGTATTTTGAAGAGTCACTTGTCCAGCAGGCCAAGGCAAAGAGGCAGTCCCAAAACCAGCAGAATCAGGGAGCTGGACAGAAGACAGATTGCATTTGTCTTCAACGTGGAAGAGATTGTCACTCTCGAATTGGACTTCTCAGCCACACTAGATGCTGTTCCAAGTCCTCTATACAGGGCATGCGATTGCATTTGTCTTCAACGTGGAAGAGATTGTCACTCTCGAATTGGACTTCTCAGCCACACTAGATGCTGTTCCAAGTCCTCTATTCAGGGCATGCTATTATAGTCTCTCGAGACTGAAGGATGCCTAATCTAATCTAATGGCAGTTCCTGAACTGTCTTCCAAAGCAGGTCCAAGTACTGCACAGCACAGTAGCCTAATATGATGTTTGCTAGGGCATGGATAACTGGTCTCCAAAAATCCATTGCACAGACATGTGATTCTGAACCAGCACAGAGGAGAGAACCGTCTTGATGTTCTCCTGGTCCAGTACTGGACCAGTACTAGCCGCCTAGAGTGGTCGAAATGACTAGATAGGCGGGGTATAAATACAATAAATAAATAAAAATATAATACTGTGATGCACAGCAATACCTGCCTACTGTAGTATACCACCTTAATTGCTATAGCACCAGTTATCAGTACTGCTACACCTGATGAAGTGGCACCATGGTGTCTGCATTGCACAACAGACAAAAAAGGGTCATATCCTTGTCAGACTGGCTCCAGTAAGCCAGTAGATCTATGTATCAGATGAACTCATTTCCTCCATCAAAAGATCACATTGCATAAATGGTATATTATTGTTATCTTCCAAAACAGAAGTGTGGGAGAATGCTGAATGGATCTGCCTAATCACAGTGTCAGCTGATTTGGCCAATTATGAAGGCCAATCAAAAAGTGCTCTGACAGACAAACTGCACAGGTTGTACCATTATATAAATTATTACATAAGGAGCCTGCCAAACTGAATGTTATGTAAGGTCCGTCTTGCTAACACAGGATGTGCTGCAAGTTGTGTTAGAAATTTTGCAGCTTAGCAGGGGAATCATTTGCTTTTGGAGAACAGTGCAATTTTTAAAAAATTGCTAATTTTGGTCCCTATCGAGCTGAATTATTCTTCAGGTTGTTTTATAGGCACACTGGGAAAGAAAAGGAAGTAATCTCTATATTTATTGGTGTTGAAATCATGTGAATCGCACAACTGAGGAAGGAAGAGCAATATCCTGCCCCCTCTTCGTCGCTGCTTTCATCATGTGAAAGTGACAACAGCCCTATTTCAGGCATCCCAATCATACATTGCAGTAGGCCAAGCCCCAGTTTTGTCACCCTCCCGCAAGACTGAAGAGGGGATGTTCTGTCACACATGAATTGGCGACATGATTTTCCCATGGAGAGTCCCATGGATAATATACTCCTCTCTCTTTAGACTCCAGGGCCTCCATGTGTAGAAGGGCAGCAGAAGTGATGACAGAAGGGCTGAGCTAGAGAGCTCCCCTAAAACAGTGGTGGTGATTATGATGATGATGATGAGCATCATCTTAGAACTGCAGAGTTGGAAAGGACCCTATAGAGGGGTTGGCAATTAATAATTTCTATAGGGGGCCACATGAAAAATCTGAACTGTGTTCAGGGGTGGGTAGTAATAGGCCCCCATTGGGTGAGGCCCTGCAGTGAACAAACTACAAGGCTGACATAGTTAACTCCCTAATTGCCTACTTGCTATGTGGGTAGTAATAGGCCCCCATTGGGTGAGGCCCTGCAGTGAACAAACTACAAGGCTGACATAGTTAACTCCCTAATTGCCTACTTGCTATAGCACCAGTTATCAGTATTGCTACACCGGATGAAGTGGTACCATGGTGTCTGCATTGCACAACGGACAGAAAAGGGCCATATCCTTGTCAGGATATGACTTTTTAGGGAGTTAACTATGTGAGTGTTGTAATTTGTTCACCACTGCGGGGGGGGGGACCCCGCTATGTGAGTGTTGTAATTTGTTCACCACGAGGGGGGGGGAACCCTGACACTGAGCTAGCTCACCTGTCCTCTGTTCCCTTGTGGCCTTCCTCTCTGAATGTCTTCTATCTGGTACTGAGCTAGCTCACCTGTCCTCCGTTCCCTTGTGGCCTTCCTCTCCAAATGTCTTCTATCTGGTGCAGGCGACATAATGTGTCATCACGTCACCTGCGCAAGGATTGCTTCTGGTCTCTTGAGCCACAGGCTCTGAGCCTGCGGCTCAAGAGTAACAGTTAAAACTTGCAAGATCCCAGCATTGGATCTCACGAGTTTTGCTTACTGCCGTGCTGGGTGACTGGAGCCGGAACTCTGGCTCACTCAGCGGGGATGGGCAGGCTGGAGCCGGAACTCTGGCTCACTCAGCGGGGATGGGCGGGCCGGACTGGAGTGATGACTGGCGGGCCGGACAGGAACGGCTCTCAGGCCGCATGTGGCCCACGGGCCGCACTTTGCCCAGGTCTACTATAGATCATCAAGTTTAGCCACTGTCAAGAAAGCACAGTGGGGAATTGAACTCCCGAACTCTGGTTCTACAGCCAAAAAGACCTAAACCACTAAGCTATTTAGCATGATACCTGAATTATATCACCTGAATAGGGCTGATCTGAAGGGGGGGCTGTTTTGTATCTTTGTAAATTCTCCATATGATCCAGAAGCCTGCTTCCCTCCCCTCCCCATGATTGCCTTATGTGGCAAGGCTACACAGGTAGATCAACCTCCCTCTCTTCAAACTGTCACTGTCACATGATTGACGGGGCTGGGGCCCAGCACCCACTGTATGTGCTCTCCAAATACTTTCAAAATGACCAAATTGCAGTTGAGATTGCTGAATGCTGAAGAGGCCATCTTTTCAATTCCAAAATGAAGTGAGGATGCGCTGTTTTGTACTTGAATCAAATTGGGCTCTCTCAAGTGCTGAATTTTACTTCACTAGTTTGGAAGCCAAAAATCCACAGCAGCAGCTTTTGTTTCAGAGGATCAAAGGGTTGATCAAAGACTGGACAAGAGTGCCCACCTAAGTAAGTAAGTAAGTAAGTAAGTAAG